TCTTTTTCCGTTTTCTTTTTTTTTTGTTTTTTTAAATTAAATGAAGCATCGAGGACATTTGTGTTTCACATTGTTAAAAAGTCAATCCGAATTCGGTTGAGGTGCTTTCCAATGGATATTCCGTTCTTCGCATTGCATTATTTATTTATAATGACAATAGAACCATTGGAACTATTCTTACGCTTGTATTATACACACAGCCATATAGAAGCAGTTAGAATAAACGATGCTTCCACGGATCATCACTTTCCCCGTTGGAAAGTACAGTTTTACTGTTTCACGCGGTACTGTTGGCTGACAGAAAGAAGGGCGGTGATGGTAGAAACGAGAGAATCGAGCCACTCTTTTTCCCTGAAGCCAAAACATTGTGAAGCTACGCACATAAAGTACTACACGTAGTAAATCCTTAGCGACGGCTTTGCTTAACTATATAGTCCAGTATAGATTTGCAAAGGTGACCGTTTATAAACGATGTGCAGAGAAAATTAATACCACTGTGACGGTCGACAGGCGAACGAGCGAAGAAAACACTTTTATTCTCTATGACAGATGTTCCGTACAATATTTTCTTATAGCTTATTCTGATTTTACTACAAGCACACACGTACACACACGTACATACAATTATATATACAGCCTTCTCGGAGTTCCGTAATAATTCGTACGATCAATTTACATTCGTTACCCATTCTCTTTTTTTTATATAATAATGCGTTTACCTTGAACTATTAATGCGAAATGTTTTATCTGGCTTATGATTAGATCGATTGTGTCCTATTATTTAACGTGATGTGAGGTGTCTCGAAATTAATGTAACATTAATTATTCTCCATTCAGAGTATTATGTATTTGTAAGAAACGGATACAATTTGTGCAATTCATCTTATTTATATTTACAGGATGCTCCTTTTGTCCCTTACACTCAGCGTTACTTCGTTGCTTTCAGAGGTCACCGGAGTTATCTTGAATGGAGTTATTTGCTTCCAAAGGATGCATGCTACGATCGGTGCAATAATTCCATCCAAGACGATCTCTCCGTTTCACAAAGAGCAATACAATTCGGTGCACGGGACAAAGGGACCGCTCTGTGCATATCATATTATATTATTATTATTATTCTTATTATTATTACGCCTTTAAACGAGTTTCATTTGTATGACAAATGATTATTATACTTTAAGAAGGTTCTTAGATCGTATCGAGGGTACTTCTTCTATTCTTTGAGGCACCTTATGTCCCAGTTTTACTCATTACAGACGAACACTTCGAATCTCGATTCAAAATGAAAATCGCAACAAACACATTGTTATGTTAACCGGCACACGGTGTAATGTTCGGACTTTGCAATCATTAACGAACTGGAATAATTTAATACTATAAGTAGTGCCTTGATATTTTAACGAGCGAATGAATAAATTATTTTCTAACTGAAACAACGTATCTTACTTTGTCATTTGATTCACATTCTTCGTGGGTCGGAGGGAGGAGAAGGATGCGCAGGAAAGGGCACACGAGACGACCTTTCTTATTATTTTCTTGTTAAACAATCATGCGTAGGGGAGAGACCAGCGATTTTCGTTTATCCGTACAGATCTGAGAATGTGTGTAATCGGTTTTGCATCATTAATTCTCCTCGCACGCATTTTTTGTGTTGATTTTAACCACCATTGTTACCAATCGTATTTTGTTATTTTTTTTTGTTCCTGTATCCTGCGTTGTCGTTTTGTTTCGCTTTGATTTGAGTATACTCAGCGGGCCGGGACTTAGATAAAAAGGATGTCACCTTAATGGAGTACGATTTCGTCTGGACCGGGAAACGGGCACGAAAGTAACCGTGATCTAACAGGTGCGTATTCGTAGATGTACGTAGAACTATAATCCCGTTACAGTTTTCGTCGATGTACCATTATCTCTTTCTTTCTATTTTTTTTTGTTATGTTAATTGTATAGAAGAGTCACTGATCTTGTTTTTGTTTACCACCGACAAAGATTGTTCACACCTTTTTGTTTTTGTTCTTGTCTCGTATTTTTTTTGCATTTTGTATTCTATTTTTTGTATCCTTCAGAGATATTACCGACACGCAGACCCTTGAAAAGGTCGCGTTGAAATGAATTACTGCTCTCCAGCATGGAGAACGCATAACGAACTTGTCATTTGTACATATAGACGTCGTTTAGACGGAGAGCAGTAATTGATTGCACTGTAAATGTGATATCGTCAATAGATGATGTATTTGCTTGCTGCGCATATGAAATTTACCTCACGTTTTTACAGGTTTCGCAACGACGATCTGCATTGGCAAGGAGCTTTGTGTCTTCCATTGAGATTCATGGGAAAATTTAGAATGGGAAACCTACAATAAATCTAGAATAAAACGACGATAATAGAGAAAAGGCTAAAATAAAAATAAAACGAATTCGAAATGAAATGCAATAGAACGAATTTAAACACAAAGCCAAACGAAGTCGAATGCAATTCCAATGAAAAGAAATCGAAGACACAAGGTCCGTGACATTGCTCGAAGAGGTTACTCTAACTGTCCCTCTCCTTCTGTTTCAGGACAAGAAGTTCTTCGTGCGTGCGCAATAAAGGACACTACGCGAAAAGACGATACGCGAGTCGATAAGTTCGGATGGCGTACAGGGCTCTGCATTGTTTAGCACGCAAAAAGAAAACGACGAAACAATTGTTCGATGTCCGCTCCCTGTCTTGATCGTTTAACCGTAATACAGCACATTCCAGCTGCTTTTAAATCAGGCGCACCGTAATGAAGTACTTCACGTTGCTCAATTTCACCCGGTAACGATTTTTACGGCCCGATGTAATTATTCTGGGGAACAACGAGAGAAATGGTTGCCAGGTAAATTGGTCCACCCCGCTTCGAACTTACTGTTGTCTGAATCAAAATGGATTGAATAGCCGCAAACAACAGCACGGGAAAAAGAAGACAGGAGGAAGAGAAAGAAATCCAAGCCAATCGCGTATTCAACGAGAAAGAATCGAAGAAAAAAGAAGGAACAACGCAAGAGTGAAAGAAACTATGAAATCGCTGACCTAAAAAAGACCCTGATGTGTTCAGTTCCTCTGCGCATCGACACCAGAGTGTCAAGCAACACGTTTTTTCAGACATTTGCATGGACATTACTATTTTCCGTTGCTCATACACGCTACGACCGATGACGCGACAGGAATCATTCCACGAGCGAAGCTTTTTCCCAGTCGACGTTTAGGGGGATGCCTCGAAAATCGCTACGAACGATGCAATCTTGGATCTTCAAATTGCAGATTATTAGTCAAGTACACACATCTGTGAACGTTTCTAAGAAAGAACTGGCATCGAATACAGAAATTGTTTCTTTTTGTCGCGAGTCGTCGAGATAAATGGCGTTAGATATAATTATTAATGATTTGGTGTCGGTTCTCACGTTGCACTATTGTCTAGCTGTTCACGTTACTAAACATTCTATTACACGCCAATCTTCTTATTGCAATTGTTTTTCTCGCAATCCTCGCGCCTTTTACTCGATTTCTGTCTAGTTTAATGAAACGTTTTGTGTAAAGGAACGATTGTTTTGTTCTTGCTTGAAACTGGAACACGATGTCTGATACGGAAAAGCGATTTCCGACGCATAAAGGTTAACGGTTAGGGGAACGTTTGTATGTCGCTTAGCGTAAAATGTACTCTTTACATGCACGTTAGGATTACGCGAGTGTATCATTGTCATTCATCGATATCGAGGACTTTATTCGAGTCATAATCACGACGGTAGGGAGAGAGTTTCTGTGTATCATCGTCATTCATCACCACTGAGGATTTTATTCGAGTCACGGAACACGTTAGAGGGGGATTTTTTTTCTTCGAGTCCTGAACATGGTAGAGGCAGAGTTTTTGCGTACCATTGTAATTGATCGTCATCGAGGACATTGTTCGAGTCATCAACACGGCAGGGGGAGAGTTTTTCTTTTCGTTCGTTCAACGGAGTGGAGGCTAACGCGTGGCTGGCAACGGAGAACCACACACGTTCGCCAGCGATACTGATTTCTTTGTCCTGTTAAGATTCATATAATTTTAGTATTTATATACATATAAATATATTAATTATATATTATATTATACATACTTATATATATATATATATATTTATGTAATTGGAATACGTAATTTATTTGTGCGATTCGTTGAATCGAGGATACTGGCGTGAACACGGGACGGGTTTGTATTATAAATCGCGGTGTTGTCGTGTCTTCAGTAGACAGACACGTTTTTACAGGCGCATTTATTCAGATTAATTTTTTCGAGGAATTTGTTTTATCGTTCAACGCGAGACAGAGAATCCTTCGCAATCGCGTTTCGTTTGCTTCTAAAAACCAAGGGACTTTATAAGCGGCTGTGAGCGCAAGAAATATTCGTCTGATATTGTTTGACCGTTTCGTGGCCACGATGAGGATATGCAGATCGTTTCTGGATTGATCCGCGTTTCTAATTTAGCGAATTCGATTTTTTCATTGTGATGGATGAAGCGTCGCGAAGTCTCTGTTATACCCCCGTTGCTTTCTTTTCTAGGCGAGTATTCATCAGAACAGTTGGAGTGTCCAAGCAATTAATCATTAACTGTTTCATCGTTACGGGCTACGGTTACTTTGCGTTATCGGGAAGATCGAGACTATGATCACTTAACGAGAAGCGCTGTATGGTTGACAGTGGTATCAGTAATAGAAAAAACATTTTCTAGAGAGAGAGAGAGAGAGAGGGGGGGGGAGAGAGAGAGGGAGAGGAACTAGTATTTTTTCGTCATTATCAACCACAGTGAATAAATCCAAAGGGCAAAGTTTAACTATTCCATCACCATCATCATCACCACTGGGCTAGCTTAGTTCAAAAGATTAAGGGCGATCTGACGCGAGTCAGAGCCGTTGCATCAGCGATTCACAGTCCCCTTTGGTTCGAAGCCAACGGTCTCAAAATCTCGCCTGTTCGATCCTTAACCGTTCGATGTTTAATCTTTACGCCCATGTGTGCTCTCATTACCCCCCTACAAACATGCATTTATCGATACACGCATATTCTGCGCCTGAGAGCTTGATGGCCTAGAATTGGAACTTTTGTTTTGGCTTCTAGCGCAATCGAACGTCCGTTTCGTCCTTTGTTCACGATGCTCGAGACACAGTGGCGCGGTTGAACGAGCGACAATGAGCCGACAGCCGAGCTTTTTATTAATGCTCGACGTGAACGTTGCGTGCAGTTAGATTAACGTTGTTTTACACGGGGAATCGCACCGTGAAGGATATATAAATATATATATTTATCTTCGTTTTTTAACAAATTTTAATTTTAAGAACCCAGCGAGAAGTTCGCTTTCGTTGCACGTACAGTTCCGACGGAACTGGGATTCTCTAGTGCAATTTTTAATAAGTTTCGGTCCAGCGTTTGATATTATATTTATTACACGTTTTACACACACCCCTTTCAGTGGTAAGGTATCCGCGTTCCGTTACGGATTTCGAACGTTGATTTATATTCGTCCCCTCGTTTTTCTTTTGTTTCCTTTTCTTTTAAGTAATTTACGTTATAAAGAAGCCGTGGATCCGCCAATGATCTATGTTTCATTGTCGAAGGATAGACGATGTGATAACAGTGTTAGGATAAGACTTAGCGTACCACGTACCGTCGAATGTAGCCGTCGCTTTCCCATAGAACGAGAAAACGTTAAGGTATTGTAGCTCTCAGGTGCGAGTACTGTTACTTAGATAACATGTAAGTTTTTTTTGATTTATAATAAATATTTCCAGTTGTAATCCTTTGTTCGTCTTCCTCTATCGCGCGGTGAAGGAAGTTCATGCGACTGGACGTTACACACGAAGAAGAAGACAAATCATTTTCAAACAGAGAAATCACATCGCATTGTACTCGTCGTCGGACATTATTAAAATATGCATTGCTGTAACGTTTCTGTTTGAATTCTCATCCCCATCAGTTGATTTCTCGGATCTTTTCATCGCGACGCCCTTTGTGCCGCGTCGTTTCATCCTCTCCTATCCCTTTCCTCGCACACAGTTCATCCATTGAATAAACTTTGTACGTTGTACGCCTGGAAAGAGACTGTCAGCGAATTTCATTCTCCCAAATTGTATTCGCCCGTTTCGATGGGAATTCTTTGTACAAGCAAAGGGTCAGTTCAACTGCGATGCGAGAAACGATATCGTGACGTAACGGGAAGGCTACAATTAAGTTCGCCATGTCTTCCGACTTTAACGAAAGGTGTCCGCGTTCGCCGACACCTGTATTTCGTGGAAATCAAAATTTAGATCCTGCGGTCGATGAATCGCGACAGCACCGTAATCTAAGATTAACCGGCTATTCTCGGTGCTAAAAACGCCGCTATAAATATACCGACAGTTGTCCGTTCATTAGCCGTCGCGTTCGCCGCCATCTTGGCCGCCACCAGACACCGCAAATGCGCGCTCTTCTAAATAAGGAAAGGAAAAGAAATCGACCATGCGATACGCGTTATTATACGCATTACGGCCGATCTATTTTCGAAACGTAATTCTTTCGTTCCTTTTTCCTTTTCGTATCGCGCGATTGAAGAGCGACATGTTATCTGATACGGGAACACCCGTTGCGCGACTACCATGCGAACGGACGCCATGTTCCATCTACTTCGAATTATAGAAAAATCTTTATTGAGCATAGTGTTACACATTACAATAGTAATAATAATAATAATAATAATAATGGTAATAATAATAATAATAATAATAATAATAATGGTGAGAGAGTAATGATAATCAATGATATACCTTTTTTTCTTCAACAAATACAAACTATCACGATCTGTTACGCTTAATAAACTTAAAAACTCCTTTTACAAACTTCTGATTTGTATCGGCTTGACTAGCATATTAGAAGCATTTAACGTTACAGTTAAATTGTAATCAATTAGAGGAGGAGGAGGATCGAAAAAGCACGTTTGATGCGGATAAAAGGGTTTCTGGGACGGGAACGGGGGGGAGAAGGTTTGTTGGGGATGGTAAATTACGATATACAAGGTATTAAAAAAGTCGCTTTCGTAATAAATTAGGTACGATAGAAGAAATGTACATTCATTAGATCGCTAATATCATTATTACAAGTAATTGTATCGAGGGCTACAAACATCGTTCTTTTTCCTGACAATAACATGCAAGGCTGATTTGTACGAGTTT